TTACTAATATTGGTTTTCTGAAATTATTATAAGTATTTTCGTTAATGAAGTCTTTGCATTTTTGTCTACCGATTTCAAGGAAGGAAGACGGAAAATGGCATAAGCAGACACAGGGAGCAAAAATTAATAATAATTCAGTTACATGACACGCCGGCAAATGAGGACTTGCATAACCTGATCATAAAACAATCGGTATCGCAACACCAGAAGTTATATTTTTTATTTATGTACGGCTAACGAGCATACAGATTATCTTATAATAAGCAATCAACGCCGCCCATGGACACCCGCAACAACGGATGAGTTACGAGTGCGTTGCCGACCTTTTGGAGATTAGGGACTTGGAGATTTTGAGATTGGGGATTGATCTGCAGAACGAAAGGATTGGGCCTCCGGTAAACCCACACACACGGCGAAACACAACGCTAAGGTTTTCACGCCGGTTTTATGTAAGCCCGTGAAGTCACTTCAGTCGAGTTGACACGTTTATGCCGAAACACGGCTCTCCCACATTTTCATTATGATCATATAAATTTAAATATTTCAGTTTTATCAGAGCATAGAAATGTCCGTCCCTACGGAGAAATTATCCCCATTTCTACTCAGTTAGGTATTTATTCATTTAATTTAGGCACATATGTACGACCTCTTTACATAATTGTCAAGGGCCCACGTTTGGACCTATTAAATATCCAGGATTTATGAAACCTTCCTAGTAAATCCTTGCTTATTTCCGGCCCAGTGCCCGCAATCTCTAGGGGCAAATTGTTTTCAATAGAATGTGTTTGGAAATTCCAAACTCTCAAAATTAATGTATTATTCAATGTATTGTTATAAGTTTAGTATTTTTGAGATACACGCTCTACAAATAGATATGTACAAATAGAAGTGTGGAAGAGCCAAGCTTCGGCAAGAACGGGTTGACTCGACTGGAGTACTATCACGGCCTCACAGAAAACCGGCGTGTAACAACCACAGCGTTGTGTTTCGCCGTTTGAGTGAGGTTACCGGAGGCTCAATCCTTCCGCTCTCCCAATTCCTCCCAACCCTTAAATCTCCAAATCCCTAATCTCCAAAAGGTCTGCAACGCACTCGTAACTCCTTTGCTGTTGCGAGTGTCCATGGGCGGCGCTGATTGCTTACCATCAGGTAATCCGTCTGCTCGTTTGCCGACCGATAAAAAAATATACTTATCTACCTACTTACATTTATCGTAGAATTACTTCTGAAGTGAGTGTCCCATGTTTCTTGTTCCAGATTGACTTCACCGAAGTGATACCATAGCCTGATTAGTTACTTTAAATAGCGTTACGATTATTATCTAAGGTAACTACAAAAATCTTCTCTAATGTTCGTATAAAGGATAAAGACATACGAATTTTTTGGGGGAAGTCCTCAAAACCCCTTCAAAATGGCTGAAACTCATGTAATCCAGAATCTAAATACCTACAACCATGAGAACACTGTTATACAGAAGAAGAATATACATATAAAAAGCATTCCACGTTAATTAGGTTCAGAACAAAACACAGGAGTGCAGACATCGTGCTGTTAATATGTTTCATTAATTTTGCACAATAATGAGTATGCGAGAGTACGTTGCATAATTTTGATACAATACCTGCAATATTAACACACGAACCGTCCCTATTATACCCGTATACATTATGCAGATATGTCCCAGAAGTGCAAATCTTCTTAGACCAACCGTCCGTCGGACTTTTTCCAATCCCTACTTTCTTTCTTTGTATTACAGGCAATATTTCTCAAAATACGCACATGTTATTAACTGCATATTTAATAAGTTTGTGTACCTACTTTGATTTAACGAGACTTCTTATTCTTGGTTTTTTTTGTCAGGGAAAATCATCAAATGACGTCTCCCGCCCACGGTAAGGCAAGAGAGAATGTCAGAGTCTTACACCGAGTTTCTGAAAGGCTTGTCAACGCTAAAATTAACTAATCTCCTGTTAAATCTCTTGTCAAGTCACCTGATTGGTTGTTGATAATTCAGTCAACCAATCAGATGACTTGACAAGAGATTAAATTGATTTTAACATTGATCGGCCTTTCAGAAACCGGGGGTTAATGACTAAAAACCCCCATGTTCCTTCTCTTGCTCTGGGCCGAGGCTGCGGTGACTCATTACGCAAAACCCGCAACCCCGGCCGAACATCATCCCTATAGCGCCCCGCCTGTGGTGGTCTGTTGGCTCTTTGAGGCACGCACGGAACGCTATGCGCCGTCCGCTCGGGTCTGAATCTGGTCGGGCGGCGAGCAACCCTTACTCGCCGTCCGCAGAACCGTACTTACGGTGGCCGGACATCGTCTCTCGATCTTCGACTCCCGGATTGTCGCCTACTGCGGTGGCTGGAGCGTGAGGAGGATAGTTCCCTCACGTGCTCTCACACGCCGATTACATCCCCGAGGACACGGCGATGCTCAGCCCAAGCAGGGCATACCGCCACCGTATGCTCCACAGTGTCCTCACAGTGACGACAATCGCGCGTTTCCTCCCACCGAAGCTGCCGTACCTGGTAAGCTCCTGTATCAGGCGGAAGGTGAGGACGCTGTGTCGTCTCTAAAGCCACTCCTCAAAGAGTTCGCCGCCTCCCCGGAGATAGCGCACGAGCTGGTCGCCGCTTCAAGTCCGGCGCCCACACAGGGGCCCCGTAGAGGGCCATGGATCGCACGATAGCCATCTGGGGCTGCCAACCAACAGGAGAAGGAACTGGGTGGTTTTCAGTCAGTACGATTCTGACACTCCCTCTTGCCCCGAAGTAATTTGAAAAATATTCCCCTCAAAAAAAAACATGTGCCAAATGATATTACTGTTATTATTTTGTCTTATAACCAGATTAACATCCTTCATAAATAATTAATTATACTCAAGAACAAACCAATTTGAAATGTGGACGCGAATTCAAATACGAGGACGAAACCATAGCGATACGGACTTAACTAATATAAATATGTTATCTAATATTTTGTTGTTATTCCTTTGAACAAAATAATAGGTATTTGTATTTACACTAAAGGAAGTTTTAAACAGTATGATGAGGGGACAATATTAGCTACAAAATAATAGATAGCCGATCTAGATATCTACGCTGTCACGCGAAATAACAGACTGAATCTTATAAACAGGAAAGACTATGACACCCTCCGTGCGCGAGTCTTACCCCAATTTGGCCAGTTTTTTGTAATTCTTACATAGATGTGAACTAAACTAGCGAACACACAATTGGGTGTACTAATAATTAGTCTCAAATGCTTATCGGTGGAATGGGATGCAATTGGCGTCGAACACACGACAACGACTGTCACAGCCAAGGGTCGGACTCTTCTTTCAGGAGTAGCCAGACGCGCGGCATGGTGTGCCTAGAAGTCTTTCGCCTGATGCACATTTTGTTATTTTGACCTGAATTCAGTGGCAACAGACGCTTGGTTGTTGCTCCTGCGAAAACCACCCAAAGAACAATTAAAGATGCTTTAGTGATGAAGATCGAGAATCGAGAGCGTCTCGTTGCGCGTACATTTTCTTCTTAACCATATAAAGTAGGTAGGTAGTGCAAAGATTCTACTTGATCAATAAGTACCTAATCTATCATTAAGTTACTGAACTCATTTAGTTTATTTTGCATAGACCCCTTCTAGATAATATGGAAAACTTGCAGCGAATATTTCAGTCAAACAGAAATTCCAGAACCTGATTGAAACTTTAACCGGGTGTTGTTTCTAAGACATATACAGTCTCAAAACAACCAAAAAGCTAATAAGTACAGATGATTCGATGACGATGACAGATAACTTTCCACCTGCGTTATCACCATACAATAGTAACCAAGCCACTATAGAGGCAAGAGGACAAAATGACTATACTTTTTAGAATCCACATAGGCACGATTCAGAAGCCCAGTTTCTAATGAGGATTCGACGAAATTCACTGAAAAAACGGCTTACCCACGTGAATTAATTGAGAAAAAACTCTTGAGCCAACTGGTTGGCTGCGCGACGTTACCACGACGCGCACGCTGCTCACGAAATAGAGTCCCGTTGTGACTTCAACTTAGTAGTTATTTTCAATAAATTCAGTAAACATGTCTCACGATACTTACTATTCAAATGAATCTCTTATTGCATGTTTCAGCACGAATGGGTCGGCTTGACCAGAGTGATACCAAGGCCTCACAAAAAACAGGCGTGAAACAATCACAACGTGGTGTTTTACCGTGTGAGTTAGGTTACCGAAGGCCCAATCCTTCCCGAGTATTCCCGACTCCCAATCCCTATTACGCATAAGGTAGGCAACGCACTCCTAACAATTCCGTTGTTGCAGGTGTCCACGGGCAGCGCTGATTGCTTACCATCAGGTCTGCTCGATTGCCGTTGACATGAAACAAAATTACAGTTCGATCAAAAGAGCTAATTTTAATGATAATATCTTTTTTTTTATTATGTAATAGACATGTTCTACTTATCGTATGTTCATAACACAAATCTTCTTTACATAAAAAAATCGTGTCCCATGTTTGTCAGCGATGGACTCATAAACTACTAAACCGATTTTAAATTTGATTTACATTCCGTGTGCATTTTGATCTAACTTGAAAGATAGGATAGCTTAAATCTCAATTTATAGTCACAATATTATTTACCTTAGCCACAGCAACGCGTGGCTGGGTCTGCTAGTTATTAACTATAAAACAAACAATTCTTTTTAAGAAATTGTCGAGTGTATCCCTATCGTAGGTCTAGGCTTTTATCATAAATCCATAATAAAAATAGGAAGCCTCAAAAGGCAACAATACGCTACGGAAATTAAGAAAAAAAAAAGAAAAACCCACCCCTCGATTTGCAGAGGGTGGCAACCACAGACTAAATAGGGTGGCGGATTACGCCGGCTCGGCCGGCAACCATCGATTGCTAGTACCATCCCAGTACATGTGACAAGAAACACCTCCCTGACAAAATAAATTATTTGATAAGAATAATTAAATATGAGTGTATCGTCTCTAGAAGAACAGCCTGGGGTGGGTTTGCTAAAGAAAGTGTTATATTCATGCTTTGTGCCAAAGTTTGGTTATAATAAAGATGTGACATTCACACACGGTGAAAATCCAATTGTGCAAGTGTGAGTGAAATTACAATGCAAATTCGCATTTGATAGTTTCTTGTAACTAATTAATAATTTTGTGTGAAACAAAAAGCGCCTGGTAAAAAATAACAGCAATGTCACATCACTTATTAATTAAAAATTTTATTCATTCCACCGCTTCAGAGCTTTGTTTTATTTATTGCATCCATTTCACAAATATTTCTACATTAATGCTTGTTCGATTGATTAATTATTTATTAGCATTCAAGCAACACAAAAGATAAAAGTAGTGGTAATAATGTAATATTGACGAGACTCCGTACTCTATGCACTTTTTTTATAATATAGCAACTCAGAACATTATATAAACTGTGGCAGGAACATTCAGATACTGCATTGGACAATAAATTTATTGGTTAGATTACATTTTACATTTAAAACTACGTTGATTTGTTTGGCATCATAATGGATTTTTTAATAATATTAAGTTATTTATGGGATTTAAAACTAAAATAGATTCATTTTCAGAATTAGCAGTCGTATGATATTTCAAATTTCAATGAGGATTACGATGTAGTACATGTTTTCGAACGCAACTCAAAAGTGTTGCAACTTTAAAAAAAATACCGATAAATGGGGCACATTTCATTTAAAAGATTTTAAGAATAATTATGACCATTAACAATTTAGCTTAAGCTTAAGCTGAAACAAGTTTATCATTGTGCATAAAATTCAAAGCTATAGCGACTACAAATTATTTCATTGTACACTATAGCAACATGATTCAAGATATTTCGTAATTAAAATTCCAAATTTATTCTTAAATGTTATTTTCCACTGAAATAAATGATCAATTAAGCAAAAATTTTATTGCTTTTTAATTTCAAATAAGTATTTTAGAGTTAGTTTGTCAAGGATCCATTAATTTAATTAACATCCGTAGGGAAAAAGTGCATTCCATTAATGGCAACACAGAAAACCAGTCACGTCACTTCACGACGTTAGTGTGGGTGCGTTGTGCGTGCGTGCGTTCATGAATTTTTGAGTGCTTTTTCATGTTTGTGTGTATTTCTGACGCCGTTTGTGACTTGCCTGTCATCCCTCTAATTTTGGATTTTATCACTAAAACTCTTCAAACTGTCGTCTTTGGGTACGTAAACTGTATTTATCTGCAGACGCTCATTCAAACCTGAGATTACCCAAAACATTGTATTATTGTTATACGTGTAACCTGTTTGGCAGGCGTTGCCTGCCTGCGGTCAGTGGCCATAATTCGAAATTATTATAAAGGCGCTGTAAATTTAGTGTTTTACGGTAAATTCGGTTATCGAATGTGTTATCTGGAAGCCGGTTATCTTGCGATTCCAAGTGTAGCTCGTGTTATTATCTCGGTGCGGGGGCTAGGCGATCGTATCGGCGGGTATGAGCTAACAGGCTATAAAACTCAGTCGGCTTTTTGATGCCGGTCGGTGTACAAGTGTTCGCGCGTTAAAGCATGAAATTATAATGGTGGGGGTAGTGTGTTGTCTGTCTGTTTGTTTTTGTGTTGTGTGTGAAGTGAGCTAAGTGATTGTTCTGTTGCAGGCTGGCAGGATGCTAAAGTTCATACGCGGCAAGGGCCAGCAGCCCTCTGCTGAAAGGCAGAAACTCCAGAATGAACTGTTTGCCTTCCGCAAGGTATGTACCTAGTTTATAATAATTATACTCCTGGATGTTAGTAGCTGTTCTTGTACTTACAAAGTTGTTACAAGTCTACCAACTTATTTGTCTGTGTGCTTACAACTGAAGCTACAGTTTTATTGTTTTGGTAGTTAATACCAGTTGGATAGGTCCCAAATTACAACACTTGTAACTGCAATACTTAATGCATTATGCCATTAAGGTGATAACATTGCATTTCTGAAGCTTATCAGTGAGTTTAGGAATGTGCTGCAAATCTTGTACTACTTCTTCAAAGTCACTTAAGTTGCTAACTAGTAGTTTCGGTGAACATTTTATATTTTTTAATGTGAAAGCTACTTAGTAAGTATGGGTAATAATTAAATTAAATTTATTCTTATTTGAAAATCTTAATTATGTTTTGTGTTTTAATGATTGATTCAGTTGTAAATTCAAAACAAACTATGACAAGTATCTCTATTATTCTTATTTTCTTTCATATATTGCTAAACTTTCCGTAGACTCAAAATTCCAACTGTAAAATAATATTATGTGAAAAAAAATTCAGTTACACAACTTAAAAATAAATAATGGAATTCTGCATCATGCATAAAACAGCTCCATATTTATGATACTATCAGAAAAGTAAATAAAGCTATGACTAATGACAATATTTAATCTTTGGTTCATATTGTTTGCCTTCGCCAGCCAGTTGTAAAAAGCATCTAATTTACTCTATGACATAATGGATGTACTGTGAGAACTGAACTACTGCAATACTTTTAAATGACTCATTTCTTTAAATTTAAATAAATCTGCAATTTTTGATACCAATTATCAACTATGCCTAAAAATTATTGCTGACACAATGTCAGCAATAATTTTTATAGCTTATTATTATAATAGCTTCTGTGAACTTACTGTACTGTACTTATCACTTGGATAGTATTTAATTGTTTAGAATGTTGCAAAATGCCACCAGTAAATTTATTGTCTGTTGGTTCTGACATTCTTATCCCATAGTAACCTCGGAGTCTGAAATTATATCAATATGCTATAATAAATCAAAATAATATTTCTCCTTTTCTCTGTTGTTTAAAAAAACAGAACACAACTTTAGTTGCGTAGAGTAAATTAGAACTATATAGATACAACAAGTAGAATGCCTGTGTCTGTGGCTAGGTTTGTCCAATTATTCAACAAGGTTGCCTGATTATTATGACTTACGACCTTCTTGTACACACCCTGATTCTATTGTGGTATGTGGTAACAATGATGTGTATAAAACACATGCATCTACATATTTTAAGCAATTCGAAATATAAAAATTATAGTGTTTTTCTTGGAAATCCTTGCACACATAGACAATTACTTGCGATTTATTTTATTGCAATTTACTTATAGTTTTAATGTAGTGCGTTATTTATCATTCTATGACAAATCCAGTCAGTCACATTCAGAACATAACATTGTTCTTGCCTTATATGAATATACTGAAACTGCATAGCAAACATTTAATCAAAGTAACAGTTTTCAAAAAATATTAGGCCCCATATTACAAAGATAACTCGACCGGCTAGATTACGAAACTGTTTGCCTTTGTTATCGCCCTTCATTATTTGTTTCCAGATTAGATGTAGCACATAATTTTTACAGTACCGACCTGAAATTTCAGCTTCAAAATGGGCCATGGGCATAGTTGCGACACTTACTTATCTTGATTCATTACGTTTGTGCAGATTTCAGTTTAATTTGGAGCCTATAATAAATTATCCCTTCAATTAACTTGTTGTTTTAACCGCAAAAGTTTACGTTTACACATCACCACGTCCTCGGATTTACGTAGGAAAACGCACGTCAATGGTTTGATAGTAATAGTTGACCTTGACAGTATCTTATTTCGTTAGCAATAAGAGTGTATCGCTATGCAATTTATAATCACATCGAATGCATATTTCCATTTTTGGTGCGACAAATTAAGTCCAAAGGTCAATTAGAATCTGCTGTTTACTACAATGACGTTGATAGAATACATCATCCTTATTATTTAGTCTATTGAATGTTGATCGTCATTCACAAGTGAGTTTCTTATTGGAATCTATTAAAGATGACTGTTACAATTGTCGTTGACACCATCCATATTGGAATCAAGGTCGCCATATTGTTTCAAATCAGCATTTGAGCGTGATGTACCTATCGATCGCATCTTCACATCTATGGAACGGGTTTTATGTCAAGTTAATGAACTCTGAAAGCGTCCGTTCCAGTTATAAGTTATAATGGAGGAAGTTTCGGTCTAAATCTGAACTGGTTTTAGCTCTGAATGTCTAGACTTTAAGTTTGATACTAAAGTGATTTTTTTTGTTTGGTAAAACTTTTGTGAATATAGGTAAACGTATTTGTCGTTTAAGTACAGCTAAATCTGCACCTTTCTTTATCAAATTCTTCTTTAGTCTTTTCCTAGTCATTTTTATACTACAATATTTTTTCAAATTTCCGTCTCCCGTGCAGTTTCAACCACTGCTCGGCTCCTGTAGCCGCGTGTTTTACAGGCTTTCTCAATAATTGGACTATCCAAATCATTTTTTTTTGCCCTAGTACTTTTGGAAATTACGGCATTTAAATAAACAAACTCATCATTTTAAAGCTTAAATAAGGCTCAAATTTAACATAATTTTTTTTGACACTAATTCAGTTTTTCTCGGCCATTTTAAATTCTTTTCTCGATTGTCCTATCAGCAGACTGAATTCCTTGTTAATCTCGAGTTACGCGAATTAATTAATTACAACTGCGTCTCTTTAACACGATGTCGACGACTTAGCCTTGACTAAGTGTTTGGAATTTGCTATTGTTATGAATGACTGCTAGGACTAGTACTCGGAAAAAAATGAATAAATATTAATTAACCTTGATATAGGTGACCTATTTTGTATTTTAAAAATAAATATCCTTTTCCGCAATGGCTGAATCTCCGACCTTCTACTACTAACCCTAATCCCCTAACGGGTAGTTGTATTAAGTTCTGTCTGCATATTCTCAACATTAGAATTGTACCATGTAGCCTTATTAGTATCAATGTCCTATGTAATAACTGAGAAACTAAATTTAATAACATCTAGAACACTTGACTACCACATCGCGTTTCCTACCATACATTACGCCTTGCAAGATTTGCCATCTTAATTAGCTATGATAAGAAAAGAATTCTTATTCTTTTCTTCATTCCCAAAATTATATATTTGATCGAGTTTTCCTTGTAGATATTAACAGTTTTTTATTGTTTGTTACTAAAATTGTATGTGCATAACCAAACATTGTAGGCCTTATCGTGCTTAGCGTTTATCGGATAGCGAGTAGATAGTACTGAACAATCAATATCTGTACTTGTCGTCAATGCTAGACCGGTTGAGGGTTACCACTGGTTGGTTTTAAGTCTTTCACATTACATCATCAGTCTATAAGCGCCTATAGCTGAGCAAAGGCGTCTTTTACACGGAAAGGGTTGAGCATTAACAGTCACGGTTGCTGCAGGCGGATTGGCGATATCAAACTTATAATTAGAAATTATAAGTCCAGGTTTTGAAACCATCACGACTTTGACTAACTAATAAGTCTTTACCGTAACTTTCTAGAACATATGTTAACCTTACCAGGCCTTACCAGGCTAACATATCTTCTGAATAAGCACAGGGCCTGCAGCCGTGATTTTTGTGATGATGGTGATCAAAAATCAATTTCAGTTCTAAATATAATGCTGGTTCGATACAACAAATTGTGAAAGGAAATGTTATAAATATAAAATATAAAACACTTTTCTTTGCCACTGATGACGAATTTTGATTAAACAACATTGGTTATCGTTTTTATCAAAATGTTCCAAAAACTGCAATATAAAAGAGAACGACTAAGCGGAAAATTCCTTATCTAGGTACTGTTTGTCAATAAACAAAGAAATAAAGGCATTTATGTACGCAATTTACTTGGTTCTTCTGCCAAGTAACAATCGTGTTTCACATACTGAACCCTTCCACTATAAGTATGTGCTAAACTAGTTTATATTAAGTAATTGTTATAAAAAAATAATTGCCTTAAATTATTTGTAAAGAGCTTTTGATAACCTGTTTGAACACCTGGCCAATTTTGTTCCAAGAATCGATTAATAGCTTTGCTAAGCCATTCGTTTTATTATCATAGTAACGCGTTAATAAAGTTCCATTGTTTCATGATTCGATTTTAATTTAATATGAAACTGAAATTACGTATTTCTATTAAGCATCTATCAAGCACTCATTGGTTAAATCTCCTATTTTATAACAAATTTTGGTCTATCACTATGACAAATTTTGTCTTTTGAATACAGGCAAAAACTACAGACCGACCGCTTATAAAACTCCTTTGGCTTCTTCAATTAACTCTATTAATGCTCATCAAAAATTTTATTTCGAGTCTTTAAAACCATTGATTTTTGTACACAAAACAGTCAAGTTCAATTAGGAGACACAGTCGTAAGGCTTCGAGTTTCGTCGGAATTTGCCAATAAAAGAACACTCTCTATTAATTTATAACGTTGATTAAGCTGTTGAACTCAAATAACTTATAAATAGTAACAAGACTACAATATACTCTATTGTTTTAGTATCTGTTATTTATCCAAGAGCATACCCCGACAGTGTGTTTAGCCCTATCAGTATCAAATCGAAGTACAATAAACGCCGCACCTCTCTTTGCCCGCTCGTTAATTTTTATCAATAACTGATAATAAATATTTATCACCTTTCTAGTGAAATGAACGGTCGGAAAATGGTTCATGTTGCGTTGTGAAGTGGATCTTTCAAATTTTGCAAGAATTTGGTCGGTGACAATTAAGTTCTTTATTTCATTATTATTTATATATATTTCATTGCAAAAAGTAAACTGTGTTACGTAGAGAATATTTAAATCGTACTTGTAAAATTAATCACTAGGAAAAAAAACATCGATGTTATTTTCCATATTACAAAAACGATGCACACACAAT